TCACGGGTAACATGGACAGTGTAAATAGGGAGTGTTTGCTCACTGGTAGTACAAGCAGCAGGGGACTTCAAATGAAACTAACAGGTGTCACAAGCGAAAGAAAATGGCTCCACACACCATGGGTAGTTAGACTGTGGGACTTCTTGCTGCAAGATGTTGCAGGCACAGACATTTTATTTCAGTTCATAAAGGGAACAGACAGGCTGATGGAAGAAAAATTGATTGAGGACTGTCATGTGCAAAGATGAGACATCTGCCTCAGGAAGTCCGAAGTTAGACGTTGCAGGAAGCCGAAACAGCATTCTGAGGGGAAAAACAATTGAGGAAATATGTGTGAGCGTTTACTACACAAACAGCAATTCCCCTGTTTTTCTTCAGGAAAGAGTTGCAGCTTGACTGAGTTCATTTTGTACCATAGCCTTAGTCTGCAGGCTGCAGCTTAGCCAAACCTATGTTAGGAAATATTTAACTCGGAAGAATTTCATGTTTTTCTAGTGATTCTTTGTGTCCATTGACGTTGTCGGTATCGAGCCAGCACAGTGGGATACTGCTAAGATACAAACCTTAGTTTATCTTGAGTTCTTCCCCGGCTGTGTACCACAGACATGGAGATAGAAGAGACAGAATACATCACTGCTTTTCAGTTCCTTCAAAACTGGTCGTGTAAGGCAAAGCTTCTCTTCTCATTCTCTTTAGCTGCACCCTATTTTTCTTATGTTGCAGGCTTTCCCGTCGTTTTCGTGGAGTCTGTTCATTCCTTGCTTACCTGAAAGCTTTTGAGTTTTAGAACAATGTTAATCTTTAATGCAACATCTGTTTAAAACAAAACAAAACACAAACCCCTTCATTTTTTTTCTTTATACTAATGAGGTTGCTGGTTTAGGTGGAGTCATTAACCACCTTCAGGAATGGTGTTATTTCTGGTAGCATGTGGTAGCACGTTTACCACTTCTTTTGCTAGGAGATGACCATGTTGCTGACAGGTTCCTCTTCTGCATAGCTTTCAGGGCCACAGCCAAAAGAGTCAGGCAGCAATGCCTGGGGGAATACCTATCCTCTTCTGCTAGGACTGTAAGCCACAGGAGGTTGTGTTCTTTATCTCCATGTTTTCGATTAGATTTCAGTATCTTTGAGCCCAGGGTGGCTGAGGGAGCCTGTCTGAGCACTTGCAGTAGTAGTCCTTGGTTTTGTATTCTCAGCAAAAGAAAAGGTGAAGGCTAAATGCTCTTTTGCTGAAAATGCATGTCTGTGTTGGGATCTTTCACGATGCACCTTCACCTGGTCATGTGTTCAACAACAGTTGTCTATACAACTTTTCTGGACTTGGACAGAGAAAGTCAAAATGTACCTCATAATTTTTATTTCTATGTGCTCTGTCACATTCCCTACCGGATAAGTTTCTGTGATTTGAGAGAGATGTCAGCAGTGGACACGTAGCCTGGTTGGAGTCCTCTTAGCAGCTGCCCTAGCCCTACACTCTGAAGTATAGAGTTAAAAGATATTCTATCGTTTTGTCATGAACATGGGTTTTAAGATCCTGACTGAACTTCACCCTCCAAATAGAGACCCAGTTTCTCCAAGGAACTTCGGTCAGATCCTCATAATGAGCAAGCCATTTGAACCTGCTGCTACTTAGTCAGTTGCTTTATTTATATAGAATCATAGAAGTCATAGAATCATTTTGATTGGAAAAGACCTTTAAGATCATCGAGTCCAACTGTAAACCTAGCACTGCCAAGCCCACCACTAAACCACATTCCTAAGCACCACATCTACATGTCTTTTAAATACCTCCAGGGATGGTGACTCAACCACTTCCCTGGGCAGCCTGTTCCAATGATTGACAGCCCTTTTGGTGAAGAAATGTTTCCTAATATCCAACCTAAACCTCCCCTGGCTCAATTTGAGGCTGTTTCCTCTTGTCCTATCACTTGTTACTTCAGAGAAGAGACTAACACACACCTATGTGAACAAGGTGAGTGAGCTCCAAATTGGTATGACCATTTCCTAGCCTTTCATGTAGAAGGAGGCATTTCCTAGAACATATAATTTTCTTTTGCAAAGCTCATATTGCTTCAACCACAGGTTGCATAGCATGGTATGCTTATGTCTTTTAAGACAGACATGTCTGTTATATACTCAATGTTGGAGGGGAAAAGAGAATCAGATATGGCTTTACCTCCTTTATTCATTTCTGTGTGGCATGCAGGAGGAGAGGGACCAGGTAACTGCTGTTGTAAAAAATACTCCAACAAACAGTTCTGGGACAAGAGTACCAGCAGGATGTATGGGTAAGGGGATCTTGAAGAAAACCAGTTGTTAATATTACTGCTCTTGCTTGCTCCCATGCAGCAGCTTGTTACCATCTCTCTGGTGGTGGCTACCAGCCCCAGAACACAGCTGGTAGAAAAAATAGGACAGATGCTCTCTAAATGACTTCAATGGAGTGTCCCAGGCAGACTGAAACCACCACCGCTACTTTTGGCAGTTTCAGATAAGCATGCAGAGACTCCTCATTGATATGAGTGTGCATGAGCTGTGAGTGCGTGCTGACAAGCGAGGGGAAGCAGTGGCATCAGCTGCCACAGCTATAAATTATCACTTTCTGTGTGTCTGTGCCTTTAGGACTCTTGTCAGGAAGCCAAGTTTATCTTAGCTTTTAAAGGTTTTTATTTTATTGGTTTCTTCAGCATTTGAGAAATATTAAAATAAGAAGAAAAAAATAGCTTTTCTCAAACCCAAATCTAACTGGACCAACACTCTAAGGCTTACTAGAGCAAAAGCAATATTCTGATGTAGTTAGCCATTGGATAATGTTGATGTGATTTAAAATCAAAGTCTAGATTTGAAAATAACAGAATTGCTAAGATGAGAAAAGAGGGACAGCACAAGATTTTCAACACAGATCTTCACTTTGTTTCCACTTAGAATAGATACATGTGTTACGTGGTGCTGTAATATATATTTGAGTTATATTTGAAGAGAAATATAAAAAAGACTTCTTACCTTTAAGGTTTTAAAAATCAGTTAGATGAAACGAAATAAAAAACCCCAGACATTAGTAGGATAAAATGAGCTAGTACTGGTATGATGATAATAATACATATATTTTATTTCTGCAACTTCTAGATATTTGTGAGTGGTCTGTCCATCATTTTATCAGGTTATCATTTGCTTACTCCAGTAGGAACAAATTGTTAAATAATATTTTAAAATAGTTTATTAAAAAAGCCGACAAGAACAGAACCGCTATAGCATACAGAATTAAGTGGAACTTCTCCTGTTAAAAATTATTTTTCTCAGTCCATTTTCCTGTAGATGCATAGTGTCTTTTGTAATAGAAACTGCATTTTGACAATCTAAGTGGTATGAAATATAGGGTCTTTTGCATTTTCTTTCCCATAAGTAATTGTTAATTTAATGTTTCCGTACTGCTGCTCAGATATGACCCTTCCATGTTTGCAGGTAGGCAGAGGTCAACACGTGAGGAAGGAAGGAATTGCAAAGATGACAAATGTAACTACATTTGTTTGACTTCCAGTACAACCTCAATGCCAGAGAAATACAGTTGCAATAAATAACATTTATTCTGACATCGGGCATAGCTTTTACCAGTAATTATCAGGCACTCTTTAATTTTCCTTTTCCATCACAACCTCATGGTGCAATTACTAAGTTGTGTTGGTGGATGAAGGCATATTAATAAGACAGAAGACAAAAAAAAAGACAAGGGTCCAGGAATAAAGTAGGGAAGGAAGCTGACACACGACGGAAGGGCACGACAGCAGGAACCCAGGGCTTGCATCCTGGATACTCAACTGGTATTGAGCCGATTCCAGCAGGATGTGTTTAAGTCATTCGGGCTCTTTGCTGGCCCAGTTTCAGTGTGCCCAAAGAGATCCCAGGTACGCTCTATGAAGGTGTGATGGGAAAGCTCATTCTTTCCCAATCAATCCTGCTGTTCTTATTATTTATCTCTGAGGTAAACAGCATATAAAAGAGGTGGCCATCTCACACCATCAGAATTAACCCATTAATTTACTTTCTGGTGGCTTCAACTGTGAACATTTATGTTTCTGAAATGTTTCTGAAACATTTGTCTTATGTCTATTTCGGACTTTAGCAGAAGTTCTAAAGAACCCTGTATGGCTGCTCTTTTAACTGAAATGGTGCAGTTTTCATATTACAGCCTCTTGCTTCAACTTATTTTTTGTGTTTATAAATAATTTATATACAACTAGAGTAGAGACTCTTTACAATACACACTGGAAAGAAAAGTTGTCCTTTAGGAAAAGGAGTAAAGAGGTAATACTCCTTGCAAAGATGAGTGATTTAACATATGGGAGATATTCAGTGTTGGGGAGAACCAAACAGTTCATCAACTTTTCATCTATTACATTTGACAATGTTATCTATGTGAATTGTCCAATAAGACATTCATGCTCCAAATACTATAAAACGCAGTTTCACCTCCAAAGGGCTGTAAACTAAGCACCTGTGATAGTCAAATGTCATAGAAATTGTCCAATTTATCTCAAAGTTTGATTTCCTTTGTTTGTGTGACTTGGCTAACAAAACCATTGCTGTAATTGAAGCTCAGCTAGAGGTCTTGCAGTTTTCAGACATTCTGGTTGTAGTCAGTCTAATTTGTAAGCTATTTGTGTTTAATCCTGAGAAGACACCCAAACTGTGAATCAAGTCTTTGCTTGAGTTACTAACATCCAGGCACATGTACGTGCAGTATGGAATTTGAACATTCACAAGGGTGCGTATTTCCTGGAAAAAATAAAGAGATCAGTCAAAATGATACAGCTAGGAAATTATAATGCTGAGTTTTCCTGCTGTCCTGTGACAATTCTTTTTCAGTCCAGCATCACTCCTTGTTTTCCTGACATCCTGAGAAACAGAATCTTACTTAAGCTGCTGTACAGGGAGCACTAAGCGTTCTTACTGTGAACCCTGGCTTTTTAAGCTTGCTCTACTGCAGTGTACGACAGACTTTATTTTTCAGGTAGCTTTCCATTGGAAGATTTTGCAAGTACCATCATCTGCGTTTCTCCCACTTCACGTGAGCTTTCTTCATGATGTGATCTGACAGCGCTTGAAATTGATACACTCACTTGTCGTCTCAGTATTTTCATTACAGTTCTCTTGTATCCTTTGCATGCAAAGAAATAGATGAAAGGGTCTAGGCAGCAGTTAAAATTCATCAGGAACACTGTATAATGGAGTGACTTCTGGAAAATTTTCTTTTCAGTGCATGAGGGTTCATTCTGAAGCTTCTTAATCATGTGCTGTATGATTGCAACATGATAAGGGGTAAAGCAGATGATGAACACTATAATTACAAATATGATTGTATTGATGGCTTTTTTGTTTATCCCAGATTTTTCAGTCAGTGGATTTTCCTTGGCCGTTTGAAAAAGTTTGCAGCTAATTTGAGAGTAACAAAATAGTATAATCCCCAGGGGAATAAGGTACCCTACTAAACAGGCAGCAAGAAGTATAAATGGTAGATGTGCTATTTTTTCAAAGTTTGGATATTCCATACACGTAGTCCTTTCTTTTTCTTCCTGTGACATGGGCTGTATAAGTAATGGGAAAGTTTGACTAAATACAAGAAACCAGATAAAGACACAAATGCCCTTGGCATACTTAATCCTTCTGATCTTGTATCGGAAGGGGTGGACAACAGCAAAAAACCTGTCAATGCTTAAACATGTCATGAAGTTTACACCTGCATAGGTGTTGATATAGAACAAGAGAGCAGTTATTCGACATAATGCTTCTCCAAATGGCCAGTGAAATCCCAGGGCATAGTAGGCTATCCGTGTAGGCAACGCAACACAGAAGAGGAGATCAGAGAAGACGAGATTTGTTGAATAGAGGGTTGTGGAGTTGATCTTCTTTCTGTTTTTAAAAATGACTGTGAGGGCAATGGCATTTCCAAGCACTCCGAGAATTAAGATGGAGCTGTAGAAGACAGACAGTAATATCCGTGCTGTATCTTTGTGCTCATATAAGTCGCAGGTGGAAGCGTTTGTCTGAGAAGCTGTGAAAGCATCCATTTCTGTAACCACTGTTGTTGCAGGAAGCTCCGTAGACCTAACAAGAAAAAAAGCACAAAAGGGAACATTTTGAAATAAATGTAGATAAACTTCTTCTGCATAGCAACGGCCAACCTCTGTTGCAAAAAGCAAGATTGTAAAAAACTGAAATGAAACTTCATTATGGTGAAATACTTTTCAAGCCTCCTTCCAAAAAACAAACAAAAAGATAGCTCTCTTTGGCTTTTCTGTTTTGATCCCAATTCCTTCTCTCCTGAAAAAAAACAGGGGGCAAAATAATAAACCAGGGATGTAATGTATTTGAAAAGCAAAGTTTATAAATGGGCAGGAGGTGGGAGACTGTTTAAAGCAATCTGAGGAGAAAAAGGAGTCTGAAGAAACCACATGACAGAAGATCATATGAAGTCCCCAAGGATCAGACAAGCAGATGAAACCTTCTAACTGTGTTTCAGTTAATTTTTAGGAAGTTTTGGTTTCTAACAATTCACGTTGTGATGGTTTAACTTGTTTAGAGAAACGAAATTTTTTCAGCGCTCTTATCATCTTGGTGTTAGAGTAAGTCAGCTTCAGTATAAGAATTGGCTTTTGGAGTCTAATACCAATATTGTTACATACATAAATTCTTAAGACTACCACTTAGGTCACTCTTTAGTGGTGCTGCAAAAGAGAGATAACCCAGCTGAAATATTTTACACGTTGTCAATTTAATAGATTTTAGAAATTGTTTAACCTGCACAGTCAGAAGTAGCATGGAAGAGCTGCAAAGTGGCAGGGATTTGGGGGACTTAAAAATACAAAAAAATGATCCAGCAGAATTTCAGAAACAGAAAGGACCCCATCCTGTTGATATTGCTCCCAGTGCAAAATATTTCTTAGGTGTGTTGTTACCTTACAGTTGCATGGTGTAAGCATAAATGTCAGAAAGGATGGGGTGTCTGACGTTACTCCTCAAGCAGCTATTCTGCAAAATGGTGTTTCTTAGAGGCACCATTTATAGATTAAAACAGCAGTCAAAACAAGATTGCTTCTGCTTTAAGGCAGAATACTATCTGGAGATAAAAGCTGTTGTAAAGTGAGTTTTAAGTCCATCGGGTACCTTTAATTAAAACGCCTAGCTTATTTCTGAGGATCTGCCTTACAACACACAATATTTACAAACAAGTGTAGCCTGTTGTACCTTAAAAAAGTCTTTCTGGAAAATACCTCTCAGTTTTAAGGGTTTTAAGCTACAAATTTTAGAAAGCATTCATTATCCTTGTATTAACTTGTGAAAGCATTACAAGGTTAGTATCTTCTTTCATGTTTTGAGGAGATTGTCCTACTTATTTCAGGTTGTTCACAATTAATGTACCTGTAACATGTACTGCATTATAAACCAGACTGGTCAGACTTCTGGCTAGGTTAGCAGGGGTGCATAAGGTTCTCTGTAAACACTAAACCTGCAGATAGTGGATGATGTGCATTAAAAGGTAGAAATGAGTGATATTCTACATGTTTAAGGAAAAAAATTTAGCATCCAGATGGTATATGAAGTCTGTGTTTGCTGTCTTGCACAGGCAGTATGACAGACAGATGAGTGATTTCTGACTGACCGATGTACAATGTTCTGATTCTTGGATAGCCATGAAGTACGTACCACGTGTCAAGAGGTGGGAATACTGCGTGTGGGGTTGGAAGTCAAATCTGAAGTGGGAGTTTTGCGGTTTGAATAAGGGAATTAAACTGGTAAACAGCAACCTCAGCTGTAGTGCTGATTTAAGAATGTCTGTAATTTTATATTAGTTAATTCCTCATCGTTCACAGTATCTTGGTGTTAGTGCGTTTGATGATTGATTAATACAGTAGTTACCAGCCTGAGGATAGTGCTGCTATACTTTCCTCTTGTGTCATCTTTTCCCTTACAGAAGCACGTAGAATGACTCTTGTTTTACCTAAGTGTAACAAACTGATTTTTGCAGAAAATGGTGTGGGTTTGTGTAGGCCCCAGGGTAAAAGTCAGTGAGGTATTTTTTGTTTCTCGTATTTAAATGCTTCTGATGACTTGTTCACACTCCCAGCATGATATCTATCTTCTACTCTTCTCTTCCTTGAAATTTAGGTAAAATCATTTCTTAAATGTGTGTAAGGAAGAATAACCTAAGGTTTATGATAAACAGTTCTATTGTATTAACTAGCTACAGCATATTAATGACATAATTTTATTTTCACTATGAAGTTGTATTTGTTTTGGTTCATAAATAATGTGCATAATTGTCACATCCATTTATTTGGGGTTTTTTATAAATATTTGTAAAAAGTAGAATATCTGTTATACAAACATGTCTAATTATGGTTTAGGAAAAATTCCATGATTTCAGTGAATTTTTTTTTTTTTTAACATCAAGAGTAGAATTTCATAAGATGCATGTTACCTAATTTTGTGCCCCGAAGTCAGTCACCGTGGTGTGTAGGTGCTATATTACCTGCACATATTTCATTTTTTAAAAAAAAACCCAACCCTTTCGAGATACTGTATCTGGTTTGGGGCCCAAACAGATGATAAAGTTGCTACCATCTGACAACTTAATGCGCATCACCTGAGCTATGGTAACTTCTTTGTAGATCTGAGCTCTTCTTCTTGTTGGATGAACTCCATTCATCTCAGCAGGTATTTTATCTTTTCTTGTCAATCTTAAGCAGGGCTGCTTTTAAAATAATACTTTCTTCCTAAAAGGTGTCTAGACTACTAAGTAAGACAAGACTTTTTGGGTTGTTAATCATATTCCATCTGTCAGGTTGCTGTTTGTTTCTTGGCAACAATCCTTAGTGATCAGCTTATTATACATACAGAGCATATACCATCCTCCACAGAATATATCTGAAAAAACAGCAGCAGGCCCATTTTGCATACTTTTTGTGTGTTTTGCATTCTTGGAGCAAAAATGGAGATCGTTACCTCCTTACTGCTGCAAACCTCAGCCTAGCTGGACTTGATTCTTACTGATTTTAATGAGCTGTGTGCCTGAACACCTTTTGAGAACATGGCCATTTACTGTCCCGAATCCAGATGCACCACTGAAACTACCCTCTAGAAGCACTACCAAAATGTTTGCTCTTCTAGGTTGTTGCATTAAATACCCCTCCCCAGTGGCTTTCTGAGTTTATTAATGATACTATTTTGAAGTATGTACTTGAAAAAAATGCATTAATTTACCTTGCCAATTTAATAACTTTAGAATACATTGCCACCATTGTTTGGCATAGAAGTGCATGCAAAATTTTAAGGCATGAAGTATTTAAAATTCCTGTCTTTATATCAGTATTGTAAAGAAGATTGTTCAGGTTTTTACATTTTCTGTGTCTGCAGACACATGATACTCAGTGACACATCACTTATTTAATATGCCCTCCAGTATAATCCAGGTTATGTTGTTATTTTAGTTATTTGTGTATGGATTCTATTAACTTTTCATTTAAAGCATTTTTTTCTAAAAGACTTTTTGTTCTTGACCTGGAGAACTGAAGAGAAAGTGAATTAGCCATTTGTAGTGTAGGTTTTGATCAATCAACCTCCCTGCTAAAAAAAGTGGGTATCTCTTATTTAAATTTCTCTAAAATTAATTTGCAATCGCTGGTTTTGTCAAGCTTTTTCCCTTTATACAATCTCATGGGCTAGGCAATTCAAGACGAACTTCTCAAAAGTCTAACCACAAGGCAAAAATAGTCCTGTGATGTCTGTTCTAACCCCAGCTTAGTCCCACACAGGAGATGGAGTTCCAAACGCCTCTTGATATTAGTGAACCTGGAATCATACTCACCACTATGTCCCTGTTTTTTCTGCTCAGTTGATTAGGTATCCGAGATTGAGTTGTGTAGCATTGCACTGGGAGCTTGTGAAGTTACTTCACTGTGGTCCTGGAGTACTTCTCAGGTTCACTGTGTCCTGGGGTATCTCCAGTCTAAGGGCATGCCCATTGCTCTTTGCTTCTATCTGGGAGGACCTTATGCCTGGGAGAGTTAAAACTAATTTTAATATTATGCCCAGGCTTGCAACCAGTGCAGGTTTTTCTTCATAGTTTTCTCACTTGCCATTTTCGAGTCTTGGAATTGTATTTGCTTTCTGACCACCAATGGGGGAAGAAAAAGTTTTTCTTTAGCCAGTTACTTTATGAGATTTGTTAGCTAGCCAGCTTTTAGTCTATTCGGTGTGCTTTCTTGATGTTTGATAGCAATAGTATCCACTCGGGGGGGGGAGAATCTCAGTACCATGTCAAGCTGCTTACAAAATCTAGCACGTCTGAAATCTGTGCAGATGCCTTTCTAAGCCAATTTAGTAATCTCATCAAAGAAGGAAAATAAATTAGTTTAGGAGATTGGTTTTTTTTGTGAAAATGTTTGGCATTATTCATCTGTTTTACATTTATACTGCAGTATGCAAGCGCCCAGCGCAGAGTAGAGTGCCCACTGCAAAAGGTGTTTAATGAACAGAATGGTGGCTCCAGCCTGGAAGTACTACGTAACCCAAAGCCCTAGTTCATGGAGATGTTCATGTATGATGGGCTTTATATGTAGTATCGTAATGTTACATACATTTAACTATTAACAAACAGAGTTAAGCTATGAGCCAGCAATTGCAATGTTGCAACCTTAGATTACATGGGTTTGGATTATGTGCAAGCAGCGATACAAAGCCTCGCTCTCTCTAATGAATTTTCTTCTTGTTCTCAGCTCCTGCTTTTGCTGAAGGAGCACCATCTGTCTTTTCAGCAGAACAGGGAACATGTAAAAGGCTTTAACTGTGTATTGTAATCCAATGTGTGATTTGTCTGTGTCTCTTCATAATTTTCATTCTTTGGTGATGAATCCCTGGTCCATCTGTCCAGGAGCTAATTTAAGAGGGATACCAGTTAAATTCCTGCAAGGGCAAGGAAAGATCTCTCCTGGCTTTATAATAATACGGTTTAGTCACTTCGAGGTGGAAAATATTTCTTTAACAAACAGTATATGGGAATAATGCTGTTCGTGTATGCATAAAGTGTATAAATGATTTAAAAGGAATGGTCAAGAAAGAGACTTTTCTTTTTCCCTGCAGTGCCTGACCTGAGGATTTGCTGAGCTTACAGTCCTCTATAGGTGTAAGCTCTGTAAGTCTTACAGAGTATAAAACCAGTAGAAGATGGGAAATATGCAGTGCTGTGGTTATGTAGGGTTTTTTTTTTCTTGATCTCTAAAATTAATTGTTTTCTGTTGATCAGTGATATTTACTGTTTGAATTTCTAATTTACCATACAAGTGATCTTCATTGTAGAGTGTTTGGTCTGTTTGAGAAAAAGGCTTGATTCAACTAAGCTATGTGTGTTAAAAAGTGTGCATGCTAAGTTGTGTAGGAAAACACTTTGTTAATATAGAAAGAACATATACCTTAGGTACATAAAACTAGGTGTATGTATTAGCTACAAAAATAAAATAAAAGCTGAAGCAAGAGACAGGCGTTTCCTAAAGCTTCCTGTTTCTTTCTAATACTTTAACACTCATATACCACTAGTGCCTTATGCCAATTTACCTTTTTTCAAAAGCTGTTGAGTCTTGTGCCCTAAATGACAATGAGGAGGCCTAATGACCTGAAGGCTGAATCCTCAGGTCACAACCCACAGCTAATTTTGGTGAGAAAGTTTCCAGGTTAGTGCTTTTATTCTTCCTCGGTATAGACCCAAACTTGTTGGAGTACTAAAGCCACATTTGTAAACCACATATCAGAGAACCCCAAGTATGCATTTCATGAATGAAATTCTCTTAATGATAGCTATGAAGACTTATAATATTCTTTAAATGCTTAACAGAATTTGCAGATGCACAGACTGTGGGACCTCTTTGGTCCTGCTTTGCTCCATTACTATAGATTTTAAAAAATTGTGTGACTTTTATATTTGGTGCTCCAAAATAATAGAAGCTACAGTAAGTGAAATGAAAATAAAGAAGTTGAGTTCAAATGCTGCATAACTAGTTAAAGAAAAAGTGGAAGTAATTTAAAATGTACATGTGTCTCATCTGTTGGTTCTCTCTTTCCAAATGTGATCTGTCCTACGAAGAGTGTGAGAACTATCTAACATAAATCATCTCTGCCAAAGATGCATGTTAATGTGAAGAGCTGTGCTGATGCTAAGATGATTAACCTCCCTTCAGTTTAGTCATCTAGGTATACTAAATGTAAAAAGCAGAGAACCTAAACTATAGCAAATAAACAAAATAAAAACCTGAGCCACTGACAATTACATTCCTGCAAGCAGAAGAGGAAAGGGGTCAAATAAAAATTTGTATTTTAGTACTAGAAAACATACACACCTTTTATATGATTTTTTTTTTTTCCTGGGTCATATGAAACCTGTACAGGGACAGTCTTTAGTTTTCAGAAACAACTTCAGAAATCTAGCTTAAATTTATTACTCATTACATGTATACATACTCCTCAATCTTTCAAACAGAAAGGAATGAGATTTGAGCTATTAAAGACTAATTGCCAGGTAAGTTTTCAGTTCCATCATCTCTTCTAGAGAAGCCATGAAGAATGTTAGACAGACCGCTTGTATTCTGTTGTGCTCAAAGGCATGCATGCTGGCTCTATTTTTTAAGATAGATGGTAGTTGAGTTATTGTCTGTTGCATAGTCTATCTTGGTTTGCGAGTATAATAGGAAGAATGGATCCTTTTTAATTAGGAAGATGTATAAAAATTGTATTACTTGTAATATTTCTTCAGTTTTGTGGCATGAAGATCAGTGATAAGGAAAAAGGTGTTTGGTGATTGCAGTTCAGAAAAAGAATTCTTTCTAAAAACTTTGAAAGAAAAGCGTGTCAGAAGGTAAAAGAGGAATTCGTTCATAAAACTTAAATAATTCTTAAAATGTTTTGTTGCAATATTTAGATGTGAGAAGCGTGACTGAGGAGTTCTTGAGCTGATAATAAAGGCAGTTTCATAGAGGAGGAGCACATGTGATAGAGCAAGCTATGCATTCACAACCGTAGTATGGATTTGTTTTAAGGTTCTCTCCTACTATTAAAGTATTCTGCAAGGTTCAGTGAATGACTTAAGAACTGCAGTGCTTCCCTTACTACTGAGCAGTAGTTATTTCTGCATTAGTATAATTTAAATTACTAATTAAAAAAAAAATTACAGGCTAATGCAGTATCAAATGTTTCCCTGTGATTGTCAAAAGGCTGTATTATAAGGACGGGCTTGAAATAACTTGTTGATGCTGTGGGTCAACAGATCCTTTAAATAAAAATTAACTGGCAGCATAGTAATATGTGAACATAAAATACCACAGAATTTCTTCCATGAGCCTTGTTTCTCCCATCCAAAGACCATTTATCCTTCCTACCACATGAAAATATTCAGTATAATGCAAAAAAGAAACAATCTTTCTGGACTTGTTTGTCAGTGAAAAAAAAAATAATTGAAAAGTTAATTCTCTTCTGTACTTACATATCTGTAGCCACTTGGATCCTCTGAGCAGTTAAGGGCATTAGCAGGCTGGCTTGACTGCAAAAGTTTACCCTAGCACATTGTTTTCAAGTGATTACGTGAGTCTCTTGTGGGAGGCGTAGCTTGTCAAGTGCTTTAAAAACCCCCTTGTTTGTATGCTCCTCTTGCTTTGCTGCCTACTCTTTTATGGGATGTGAAAGCATCTATTTTTAATCCTTTTACGATTAGTCTGTTCAAAGAGAGTAATTAGAAACAACCCTCCCGCCTCCCCCCTGAAGTTATGCGTTACTGGCTTTCATAGAAGGGACTTTACTGAGAGGTTTACTTGACTAATTGTTGACTAAGTAATATCCCCGAGTGAAAAACTTTGTTTATATGCCATTTGCATTTAAAAATAACTTAAATGTAGTTTGTAGCAAAGAGCTGTATGATCAGAACACACTTTAAAACTGCTTCTTACTGATCAGATCTGACACAGCACAAGAAAACCTCAGAACAGAGGCATGCTGAGATGCTGTGTAAAAACAGACATCTCGCCAGCCCATGTACATTCCCAGCACTGTTTTAGTATTGTAATGACGAGGCTTTACGGAAACGCCCTTTGAAGTTATATGAGGGAGTTGATGAACTCTGGTGGTTTGAGAGATTAATGAGGATGTGTGCCTTTGTAAGCTGTTTATTGCATTTTGAGCAAGGATAATAATAATAATTAAAAAAAAATATACCTATAAGGTAAATACATTCAAGAGAAAAAGCTTTTCAAACACAAATCTGATTCCCTAAAGTGATATCGGTAAGAACGGGTGGCTAGGGAATCGGAAAGGAACGGGATGTCAAATTGTGAGGTAACACATTGTTATCTGCAATAACCAGGGTAAAGAACACTAATCTAAGAGTTAAATTGTGTGTATGTTAAGAGGGTTTTGGAGATCAGAGATCGATGGAAAATCCTGTCATTTGCTGTTAGAGGCTGTGGTTGAGAGTTACCTGGTATTTTCCCCAAAAACTCATACTGATCGTTCATGACTGCAAAGGACTATTTATCTTTAAAGTGGCCTCATTTAGTGGCCTGATTTTGAAGAACTAGCAAGCGGGCATGATGATGCTATTTTTGGCAGGTCCAACCCATGCAGAGGGTGGAATGCCTCTTTAGAAACGTTAAGGCTGTGTTCACGGCAGAAGCGTTTCCTGACGTTGCAGTGCTGGAGATGTGCAGAGATACGATCTCGACTAACGTGTCCATCTCATCAGAAAGCCTAAAGTAAATGCAGATCTAATGACCAAGTTAAACTTTATTAAATGTACCTTGTCTTACAGGACATGTTTTTGCTATAGCAGAATGAAGTAGAGCCTTATGAGCTACTTTTGTGCCTACTCGGAGCATTTAGTTGGCACTACGTGCTGATTTTTCTGGTGCTGAACTCCCAGTGCAGACATGACTTGATTCCCCTTAGATGCCAGGGAGCTGGAAGGCTCAATCTAGGGCTTTCAGCTCCTCAGTTTTGTGGGGCATTTATCTTCTAACACCAGATTCAGAAAGTCTTTGAGAGAACTTACTGGTCTTATTCTGGATTTTTTCCTTTCTTGTTTTTGAATTATTTTTGAATAATTTTTGAATTATTCAGCTTCATCACAGAGCAGAATCTCTTTAAATGAAGTAATGAGAATTAAAGTCTGTTTAAAAGGAAATTGCACGGGGAACTTGCTTCATATGTACACAAAGTAGTACTGCAATGTGGTTCCCTGGCCAGCAGCAAAAATATGTAGTAGAAATAGGAAATTTTGAGATACACAGGCATGTAGTAATCTTTGCTCAAGATTACTGACATTAGTACCACAGCTTCATATTAAAGGAAATGTTTATTTCAAAATAGTTTTACCATTATAAAATAATGCCAATAGGTGTTTCCTGCTCCGATCTGACAAAATATTGCCTGCCTTTGATTAAGATACATTACTAGATTGTACCCTTTGAGTCACACTGATGTATTAGCTACCAATCCAGCCCAGCACGATGTGATGTTAATTGCTTGAGCTAAATGATAGAGGTTGCGTTCTTTCACTCACTATTTATCCTTCTAGCTATCTGTTTTCTGTTCTTATATAGCTGCTGCTTCTCCAATGTCTGTTTGACTGTCCCAGGATTTGAACATTTAAACCAAGAAATGTCAGAAAGTGTGATATATGTTTGGTTTTACCGTTTGTGTGCAAAAGCTTACTGTTTTGCTTTTGACTGCAAGGAGTAGTACATGTAAACTAATATACTAATTTCTTACTTTCAGAGGTGGTGACATCAAAGCAGTGCAGTTAATATTTTGACCAGTATATTATGATGCCTGTGATGGTTTATTTTCTGTCTGCTTACTTAGTCCCTACTCTATATGAGCAGTTTACAAATGGTACTGGATTTAGCTTTACAATTCTAGAGAGCTACTACCCAAGGTAAGAAATGACTTCTGAATTACACAGGATGTTCATGGATCAACCAGAGAATGAATCCAGCTCCGCAATGGGAAGGGAAAGGAACTTGAAACTGGTTTACAATGGAGTTGAGTAGTTTACGGAATAAATTGTTGGATAATCTTGGCATTAAAAACTAAAGCTTTTTTTCAGAGAGGTGGGTGCCTGACTTCTGTCTTCATGAGGGGATTGTAAAGTGGTTGGTCAGTCTCCTATTTTAATGAACCCAGAGTTGCAGTGATTCTGCTGAGATATTCACGGGCAGGAGGAACCTTTCTTTTCCCCTCAAGATGCACAACTTCAAGTTTTGTCTTGGGGTTTTTCTTCCGCTTTCTTCCTGTGTTCCTATGAGATATTGGCAGTTAGATACATGAGTATTGGGTAAGGTACTCCAATGCTTTTGCTGGTATTGAGAGGCCTCAGGCACTGTGGTGTCTGCCCGTGGTAGAGAAAGGGTTGGGTGCAGTAGATGATTCCTTTGAGTCCTGGGCTGCATCAGGCAGAGGATCCCAACTATGAAGGGCAGTCGTGTTCCAGGGAGTTACCTAATTTCAAGGAATGCTATTGAGAATGTTTAACATTTTCAGAATAAAGGCTGGCACCTTAAGTGTAATATGGCAGCTGCAGGAACGCAGAGCACTAAAGTAACTTAGTAACTTGAATTACAAGCACACTGTTTACATGCTCTGTATTGTCTGCAGCTGCTTTTAAAAGTGATATTTTTAGTCCCGCAAAAAATATGTGGTTGTGAATTTGTCAGGTTAATGGTTTTTTTTATGAAGAACTTAAATGAAGAAAAATACAACACTGCAGTTAGTAAGTGTAGTGAGTCATTCTGAATAAAATAACAAGTTATTTCTGCAAGTTTAATCCCGCAGATCTTCCATTGACAACAGCAGATGTTTTTGCAGAAGTAACGTTTAGCTGTCTACCCCTTTGTTCATACATTTTAGAACCATTTTTTCTGTATTTTGTGCATATATTTACTAATGTTAAAAAGTTTTATAGAAAAGTTAGAGAATGTTCCCATCTGGTCTGCTGTGTTTCTTTTTCACTGCAAATGTTGAAATTTAACATGCTCTTCAAAATGAGGATATAATTGGTGTAGAGCCTGCTATTACAGTACACCTTTGGGATGGACATGATGTCCATATAGAGTGTTCAAACTCCGGAATTTAATCTTCCAGGTTTTAGCGGGTTTTGTTTTGTTTGAAAATTTTATTTTCTAACCCACATGACTGAATTTAGCTTCCTAAACATGAAGTGGGCATAAACTCAGTTTAAAGTCAGTGTGTATTTGTGTCTATGGCCCTTCTTTGCATACAGACATCTCAAGTTTCCAGTAGAAGTTAATCATGGCATTTGAAAGGATGTTCCTGATAGTCTCATAGTATAATGAACAAAGGGCTGGGACAAAGGTCTTGGGAAAAGGAGAGAAACTAGAGGAAAGGAGATTAAAAGGGATGCAGGGAAAAGCAAAAATAAGAGGAAAAGAGAGAAGTGAAGGAAAAGAGAGAATTGAAGTAGTCCTTCAATAAGAGTAGGTTTTCCACTTGTAGGTGTTGAATCTGACTATATGTTACCAAATAATTAATTAACATAATTAAAAGAGTTAAGAAGCAGTCCTTTTATTTACAGTACATGGATGGATGTTTGTACCTGTCTAGTGAAATACAGGAGCAGAAAGGAAGTGTGGGTTGGATGAGGGGTCAGTGAGGTGGGTGGGGAACTGGCTGAATGGCAGAGCCCAGAGGGTTGTGATAAGCGGTGCAGAGTCTAGTTGGAGGCCTGTAGCTAGTGGTGTGCCCCAGGGGTCAGTGCTTGGCCCAGTCTTATTCAACATGTTCATCAATGACCTGGATGAGGGGACAGAGTGTACCCTCAGCAAATTCGCTGACGATACTAAGCTGGGAGGAATGGCCAACACAGCAGAAGGCTGCGCTGCCATTCAGTGAGACCTGGACAGGCTAAAGAGTTGGGCAAAGAGGAACCATATGAAATTCAGTACAGGCAAGTGTAGGGTCCTGCACCTAGGGAAGAACAACCCCAGGCACCAGTACAGGTTAGGGGTTGACGTGCTGGGAAGCAGCACTGTGGGGAAGGACCTGGGAGTCCTGGTGGACAATGAGCTCTCCATGAGCCAGCAGTGTGCCCTCATGGCCAAGAAGGCCAGTGGTATCCTGGGGTGCATTTAGAAAAGTGTGGCCAGCAGGTCAAGAGAGGTTATCCTGCCCCTCTACTCTGCCCTGGTGAGGCCATACCTGGAATATTGTGTCCAGTTCTGGGCTCCCTAGTTCAAGAAAGACAGGGAACTACTGGAGAGAGTCCAGTGGAGGGCTACAAAGATGACTAGGGGACTGGAGCATCTCTCTTATGAGGAAAGGCTGAGAGAGCTGGCTCTGTTTAGCCTGGAGAAGAGAAGGCTGAGAGGGAATCTTCATAATGCTTATAATTGTCTAAAGGGTGGATGTCTAGAGGAAGGGGCCTCTCTGTGGTGCCACTGGGCTTCTCTATGGTGCCCAGTGACAGGACAAGGGGCAACAGGCACAAAATGGAACACAGGAAGTTCCATCTGAACATGAGGAAAAACTTCTTCACTGTGATGGTGACCGAGCACTGGAACAGGCTGCCCAGAGAGCTTGTGGAGTCTCCTCTGGAGATATTCTAAACCCGCCTGGATGCAATCCTGTGCAACCTGCTCTGAACGATCCTGCTTTAGCAGGGGGGTTGGACTAGATGATCTCCAGAGGTCCCTTCCAACCCCTACCAATCTGTGAGTCTGTGTAAATCCCTGCAGTGTTTATGAGCTTCAGGAACGAGACTTCGATTATTCACAGAATAATAGAGTAGCTTAGGTTTGACAGGATGACTCTGGCAGTCATCTAGTTCAACCCTGGATTCCAAGCACGTCCAAAAAGAACAGGTTACTTCGGGCTATGTGTCCAGGCTGTATCTCTGAGGATATAGATTCTAGCTCCAGGCAACCTGATGCGGTACTGGACCATCATTACCCCCAGCTGGACTTGCTCCTGTATATCAACGCCTTTCTTGAAGTGAGGAGCCCAAAAGTGGACACAGTGGTTCAGGTTCAGGCTCAGAAGTGCTGAACAATTGCTTTTCTTGGACTGGTGACTACGCTCTTGGTAATGCAGCCCTGTATGCGACTGGCCTTTCCTGCAAGGGCAAAATGCTGTTTAACACTTAAAGGATTCTCCAGCTCCTTGTCTGCAAATCTGTACCATTGCACAGGGTTATTCCAACCCAGGTTGAAGACTCCACAGTTGCTTTTGTTGAACTCCATAAGGTTCCTGTCAGTCCATTTCTCCAGCCCGTCAACAAGTATCTGAATGCAGTTCTGCTCTCCAAAGTATTGACTGCTCCCTCCAATTTGATGTCATTCAGCAACTTGCTGGGAGTGCACTCTGTCCCATCATCCAGGTCGTTAATAAAGACACTAAATAGTGTTGGCCCCAGTGTGGATCCCTGAGGGAAGCTCCTGGTAACTGGCTGCCGCTTGGACTTTGTACTGCTGGTCAGAACCCTTTGAGTCCAGCACTGCAGCCAGTTTCCCTCAAGTCTGCTTATCCAGTCTGTATCTCCCCAGTTTTTCTTCAAGGACACAAGAGGAGACTGAGTCCAAGGCCATCATAAAGTCAGAGCATATATTTGCTGCCTTTCCCTTCCTTGTCCACAGTGCCAGAGTCACCCTTGGTAAATCCATGTGGGCTGTTAGCAATCGCCTTGTCCGTCCTGTGGCTGGCAATAGCTTCTAGGAGATTTACTCTATAACTTTCCCAGGGACAGAGGTGAGGATTCCCAGTATTCAGCTACCTGAATCCTCTTGCCCTCCTTAAAGATGGGTGTGACACTGGCATTTTTCCAGTCGTCGGGAACCTGCCCTGATCACCACAGTGTTTGAGTAACATTGGCCATCTCCCTTAATGCCCTGAGGTGCATCCCATCTGGTCTGTTGTCTCCTGTATAGCCAGCTGGGCTCAAGAGCTTCCTGACTGTCTTCCTTCACAGCAGACGTTGCTCCAGTCCCACGGGAGGCTCAGGGACCTTGGGAGGCCAGAGGACAAAACTAACCAGTGAAAACTGAGGCAAAATAGTCATGGAGTACCTTGGCTTTTTTCACATGCTTTGTCACTATGTCCCTTTTTCCGTTAAGTGGTGGGCTCATGTTTTCCTTAGCCATCCCTTAGCTGTCCCTTACTATGTCAGTCATATTCTAGTATTGTTATGTAGATAACTTCTCTGACAGCCACACTGTAGAGGAGCAGCATCTCCATGTAGATATTCTAAAACAAGGCATGAGAAATGTATAGAAAATTCTGAAGGCAACTCAAAAGATTAATTGAAATTTTCAAAGTACAGAATTATGTAATGAAAGTTGAGAGAAAAAGTTTAAAAGTAATTGGTATAAATTTTCACACAGTGGATTCACCTGTACTAATGAGTTTCACAAAATATTTTGAAGGGCACTAGTTTTGATGTTTATTAAAAAAAAGACACCTGAAAGGATATTTATGTAGTACCTATTTATACTAGGTGTGAACTCTGTCTAAAAAACAGAAACTGGTGCCTTTGGAGGCGTATGTCTGTGGTGCGTACAAGCTTACTGTTTTAGGAGAAAAGTTCATTTTTAGGTTTCCTCCAACTCCTCTAGATTGTCAGGTACCAAGCAGTGTCAGACACTGGACTTTGAATTGCATGGATCACTGTCTTGGACTGGGCTGGTGTTTTCTGTGGTCTCTGTTGACATTAATGGTCAATATTAACATTTAAAGGACCTTTCCACATTCTTTAATCTCTTTTTAAAATGCAGTTGCAGTCATGGGAAATTCCTTTTTGTACTTTCCCATCTTATGATTGAGTGCACCCTTGCATGTGAAATCTCTGTGTCTGAGTCACTATTTATCACAGGAGAAATAAAACCTGAAAAGCATGCCACAGTTTTGGGACTCCCTCAGGTCATTTGGTAGGAGTGGAAGAAATAATTTAAAATTACTTTTCTAAGAGGAGAAAAGACCTTTTTGTCTCTGTTTTTCTTCTCCACTTATAAAACCTGATTTACTTCAGTGAATATTGTCTACAACAGAAGCACTTCTGATGAAGCCACTTTGTATGTGGCACTCTTGTAGCTGTGCCTATCAACTCCTACAACTTAAAAAATTTGTATTTATTTTAAGAATGTGTTGTGTGTGTTTATACAGGTGGGTTTTGTTTATGTAAGAAGGATTATATGCAAAATTGAACATTTGTCAGTAGTATCTGAGTTAGCATTCTCTACATGTTCAAGTGCATCTGACCGTGTGTCAAACTAATGATACTAAAAATGTTTCTATAATTAAACTGTATTTAAGTCCTCAGAGAGGAAGCTTTTCAGCAAGCTGAACTTCAAATATAACAAACAAAATGATAACAAAGTGCTCTTATGTCACAGCCCATTAAATGGGTAAAAATACTATTTGAAGGGGTTTTTTTCATAGCTGTGGGTGTTACGTTTGGCAGTTAGTCAGGAAATGTAAGTTTTAATATTCAGACCATCATTTCACATAGTATTGCTCCTATCAGTAGATCCTCCGGAAGGAAAATGTATTTTTGAACGAGCACTTCAAGTTCTTTGGGTCCTGTTTTTTGCCATTTGCAGAATTCCCACTGAGTATAATAAGTTCCCTTTCACATAAAGGCCTGTGGAAACTGCAGCTCTGGAGAGTTTTGATAAGCTGTCGAGCAGTGAAAAATTACCCCGTGCAGCATCCCACGCCTGTCGGACACAAGACAGCACAGAACCACAGGCGAGGATTCAGCTGGGGAAGCACTTTGCTGATAGCTGCCCCTGCCTGCTGCCTGCAGCTTGCTGCCTGAAGGTCACTGCCACCACAGCTCCACCACTTCACCTGAAATGACCTTTATTTTCTTCCCCTTCTCCATCTTAGGAAGTCTTTTTCTTCTAGAATCTTCCATATCCATGCCTTTGGCATTGGTTCTGCTGTGGCCTCTTCTGTTGTTTTTAATACGTGGTTTAGTTTTCTGGGTGTTTTATGGTGAGGAACACAGGCTTTGTGTGGGGGTATGTGGATGAAATGCACTAGTTTACGTTCACAAGTTCAATCTAGGTATCGGGCCTTTGTAAAAGGTGCTTGAGTCTTAAATTCTGTGAATCTGCTTCCAGTGAGGCTTTAGAAACTTAATAAACATCATCTGCTGTGATTTAAGGCAAGGACCTTAAAGCGAGTTAGTTATTTGTATGGCTATGGAAGTCGCTGGCAAAGGCAAGTTAAATCCAACTGTTGATATTCCCATCTTGGATACTGCAGTCTATTAGCAATCCTCTAACCTTAAGCCTGGGTAAATAATAGGAGTTTAATTTCATGAGTGAAGTTGTTTCCATAATCTTTTGGGAAAGGTATAATCCTTGACATTTGTCCATTTGAATCAAAGAGGTTTTGTTCTGTGCAGGAGACTACTGCTGTTCTTTTTGTGTGCTGTATTTTATATAAACAGTCTGCTATTACACTAAACATGTTGCCTTCTCTGCTGCCTCTGGTCCTAAACATTTGGAAATAAGACACTTTTTGTCACCTGTTCTTCTTCTTTGCTAATGAATCTGTTATCCTGAATGCTGCAAGTTATCTAATTGTTGGTTCCCAAGGAAGACCTTTGTTTGCAAGGTGGTATTACATTTTGTTTGTTATGTACTTAGGATTAATTACTTTTGATTGTTTGACAGTATTGTTGCTAGTATTATTCTTATTAACCACCTGTATCTTTCTTTTCGCAGCTTGGGTCCTGTGTTTGCGCTGTTTGTACCATTTTATTCCTCCATTCCAAGAGTGCAGGTGACACAAGTATTAGGTCACTTTTCTATCACAAACAAGACACTGGTCTACATACTGGGTTTACAGGTATGGTATGTACTTGCTTGTTCATCTTTTAATTAATTAGTAATGTAGCAGTTAGTATTTCTGTATGTTTGTCTATGAATTTTGATGCTTCCACATGTGTCATTCTACATGTTTAGCTAGTGACTATTCTATCAACTAAAATATTGAAAAACATGTTGCTAGTATGCATTTCGACATGCTAAAGTGGTGGGCAAGTGATCTGTTCTTCCATTGTCTTCTGTCTTGATTGTCTTGCACAGGAAAATATAATGGACAATTCTACAATTTCTTTTTTTTTTTTTTGGTCAACAAAATGAACTAGTTGAAAATAGATGAAAACAGAACCTGATGCTAAGGCATATGTGTCTTTAACCTTTCTAATTTGCTTATATTTTTGATTTTGGTTTTTTTTCCCCCTTTTCTGTTAGAGCTCAAACAAAGTTATAGAATACTGTATTTTTTCATAATAAGACCGTTGGTAAATAATCAAGGTTTGGGCTGAATTTCACTTTTATGTAAATTAATATTATTTCTATATATAAAGCATTACTATGTGGCAGGTAATTTAAAATAGTGTGATGTAGAGCACAGCAATATCATGTAGTATTTTGTTAAATATAAGTGGAAAAATGTAGGTACTTCGTACAGAAAAGTAGTAGTTGTTCAAAAAAACAACAAAAAAACCCCAGCAGCCTAGAAATGAGTGGACACTCATGTCACAGCCTGAATTATGAAACAGGAGACGTGCAAACTTATGAGAAATTGTACTCATTTTTATATATTCCAGGGACTCAAAAATAGCTCTAGCACTAGCAACGGAAAGCACCATAGTTATGTGAAGTGTGGTAGAGAGTATTTTAGAATGAATGGTCAGTTTCAGAATATTGGCTTGTGCTCCACGCGAACGTTTCATTCATCCATTTTGCTATTCAGCCTTTGGGTTCCTTTGATTTCTGCTCCAGCACCTTATTTTCTTGATCTTACAGAAATCTTGCTTCCTCTCTTCCAAACCCATCACTACCACTACTATTCTGGTCTTTGGGAAAGCCATGATAGTATCTGTGCTCTTTTCTGTCATGTCCTTTGCCTTTTGCTTTCATACACACACCGCCTCCAGTTACTAATCACTGTATCTTCGGTCGATCTTTCCCTGCTGCGTACAGAATGGTTGCTGCCGTCACGCAGAGGCTGAGGGAAAAATCATTTGCCTTCTCCTCATTTGTAAACTCTGCCCTTTCCTCAAGTCACTCTTTCCGTAGTCAGAAGTCTAGAGGGAAGGTGTTCTCATGATTCAGTCGGCATTGTGCAGAACTATTTTAGTAACCAGTATCAGTCTAATTTTCAGCCCGTTTTCCCAGCTGGTAATAACCTTCTTCAGGCGATTAATCACGTACTTTACTAGAAACGATAAGCTGCCCTGTTGGCTTATCAGGATTTTTTTTCAAACTTCACTCTGACCTATTTCTGTGATTTCATGTCGACAAATATGCTACTGGATGAGAATTTTACTTCTTTAATTTTGATGCTCATGCTTAGTCTCTCCAGGACTGTGCTTGTGAAAGCTTCACTTGCACTGCCCCACTTGGAACTCCTGTTGCTGCTGAGTCATTTCCTTTGCTTCAGTCTATCTTGCAGACTTGTTTTTCTGTGCAGCCTATAACTGACATCCTGTTATACTTATGCTATATGAAAATAAAATGTATTGTTCTGTAGAAGGAGAACAACTGTTGAATCCCTGGGGTTTTTTTCCACTTCTGCTACTTCTGGAATACATCTTTTTTTAATGTTAAACTGAATTTTCACAGTTCACATGTGAAAGTTCACTTCTCCCATTGTCATGATAAGTACATAGCCTATATAATATTGCAGCATAGTAGTTTAGACAACAGCTTTGTAAAATTAAAATTTTAAATCACTGCTCTTGTCTTCTAGCTCTTAACCTCTGGTTCCTACATCTGGATTTTAGCCTTAAGTGGATTGGTAAGTCTTACTGTTTTAAAAATCATGCATTGCTTAAAACACTCTATGTATACAATCAGTGCAGTATATTTGGATTCAATAAGAACAGAAATTACTGAATAATGGGTTTATTTGTGGTGGTAAGTAAAAGTTTTCTGTCTTTAACTTCCAAAGGTGTAAAGTGCTGGCTGGTGATAAACTGACAGGCAGCAAGAGAGCTGGTTAATATTTGCAGGGTGCCGCTGCTCTCTGACCCCCTAAAATTAATTTTGCTGCCATGGATATAGCTTTAGACCCCCAACTATAAATGAGACTATTGAGGAAACGGTAGAAATATTTCTATTGGGTTTTGGGGTTGGGGTGGGTTTTTTTTCAGTTTTCAGCAAGCCTCAAGCTTTTATTGCAAAAAGCAGCTTTTAGCAACGTTGCTATGAGGAGTTTTGATGTTTTGCTGTTCTCCTAGGACATCTGTATATAGCCGTTTCTCACTACGATAACGGCAGTAAGGGTGTAAAATCACTTTCTTCATGCGACTCAGATAAAGTCGGTGTGGTATATCTTTTTCCTTTATGACGATGTTCTTAGTACTGAGGCACTTAGTGCTAAAATAGATTGTACTAAATCTTCCAGATTGTTAGATACTGATACGCTTCTTTTAAAATTTTGCAAACTTAGGAATTAGGAGCTCAGACTCTGATTTCTTGACCCAAAATATTGTTTGCTTTTCAAACAGTGAAAGTGCCACCTCTTCCAAAGAAGCTCCTTATTAAGTTGATGCAATCTTAAGAAGAATTTAAGTTGTGCTCTTGCTATTTAGAACCTACTAATTTGAATTTGCAGTGAGCTCAGAGTGAAATTCCCATGGACACTTCACATATGGCTGCTATAACTCAGTAGTTTGGTCTCTTACCATTTGCATTGCCTGTTCCAAAATACTCTTTGAGCTTGTAGGATAACCAACAGGAGTAACGGAGCAGTAAATAGGCTGCTTAGCAATTTGGTCTGACCATAAATATCAGTGAAAAAGGTGCAACTAGCAAACCAGAATTTCTCTTTCCTGGAGATCGGCCCAAGCCTCTGTGCCCGCCTAAGAATCTGTGACTTCCTCCAAACACACTACATTTCCTGTTACTCTTCTGGCTCTTTTAATAGCCCTTCCTTTTGAACAGGTGTTCGTTAGAGAGGGAAGGAAAGAAAAGGAAAGGCATTTTAACTCCATCTTTCCTGGTGGCAGGAACTGTATGGATACTTGGTTATACAGACTTATAAAGAGCAGCTCAAATTATTTTTTTTCATAATATATTACGTGGTTCTTATTTTAATTCCCTTTTAATGTACAGTTTTATTCAGCTGTATAATGCAACTTTCTAAGGATTCTTTTTCCTAAATGCCTTTTTTTTAAAATTGCAGGTTTACAGTATGTTTTACATACGTATAAGTCCATAAGAATAAATTGAGCTTTCTTTGTGTCACAGGAAGACTTAAAAAATCATCTGAAGTTTTCATATTGCTTCAGTCAGCATGAACTAAGTCATCATCAATGGCGATGCGTTTTCAGTCTCAATTTTGTCTGCAGCAAGCAGAGAGCTGCATTCTACCGTTTTGAAACAAGTGCTACAATTTGGAAAGAAGTTCATGTTATGAATTTTTTTGCACAGCATATCCGTCACGCTTCTGTGAATAAGAAGTCTCTTTTTCTCCTCTGTTAGAAATGATAATTTGGTGTCTTTTGAGAAAACCTGATAAAGGAGTAAAGTTGCACAGTATATGAAATAATCTGAAGAGGGATATGAAACACTATAAAGGCACCTCTTAATGCTGCAAGGGTAGATACTTGATAATATGTGTATGTACAATTACAGAAATACATAGGTTGTCAACTCAATCTTAAGTCATTCCAACAACCTACGTATGTATTTTTGTAATTCTCACTGCTCTTGACATTTTCTAACATACTATATCGTTGCTGAATCAAATTTCCATGTATTGTACAAAAAGACAGAGTAAATGCATGAACACCAAGGCAGCTAGGTGTGATATTTAGTTACTAGTTCATTGCTTATTAGACACTTCACTGTCTGTGTTTTTAGCTCTAAATATCACTTAGATGGTCATATGACTGTATATGATGCTGTTCTGCAATTTAGCTTTTGTTGCACTTCTGCTTGTCTGGAGTATTAAAATGGATGGTGCTGGCATGATTTCTGAATTGTTGTCAGCTTCCGCTTTCTCTTCACCATGTTCCTGGTTCAGGTTTATTTAAATTCTCACAATTTATATTTTAACATGTAATGAACACTCTTAAACTAAACAGATACAAGATGTGGCACTGGAGATTGATTTCCGTGTTCATCCTTGCTAATGCTGTTTGACTTCCCTGTGAATTCCAGGCAGATGTAGAGCAACTGGGAACTGTACCGTCTTGAGTGCTTGTTTTCAGTGGTTTTGAGTGATGCCACAATTACAGAAATGTTTTTGCATGTGTGTGTGTGAGTCTACGTATACAGATAGGCATTGATGTAATGTGCCTGGTGATAGGGAATTTTACACAATTTGTAGTTTGACGATAAATTGTTCTCAGTTACAGAGATTACAGCACGTGTTTTGTTATTGGAATACAAAAAGTCTACTGTGTCTGTCTTTGCCAGAAGGTATATATATCTTCCTAAATCTCTAATTCTGAATGAACATAGGAATACAGTCTTAAAAGGCAGCTTCTTTATTCTCCAGATGAAACTGGAGTACCTCTCAATTATCGTTCTTTTGGTACGTCAGTATGGCCTGGTAATTTCAGTTGCTGGTGTGTTGTATAAAACATGTTCTTTAAATACATGATGCTCATTTACAAAAAAGGGAGAATTTAAGAAGCAGACCATAAACAAATACACAAATCTGATCTAATCAGTAATCTGTAATGTTATTTTTTTTATAATTTATGAGACTAATTTGGTTTCTTCTGATTTGTTTTGCCAGAAATATGCCATACTTGGTACATACAGTCCAGATTTGTTTCTTATGATAGGGGGTTTTTTATGTCATAAAATTAGGAAGCTTCATATTAGAGATGCAGATATGTCATGAAAGTCATGCAACCTATTCCCATTTGACTTTAAGGCAGAAATTCTTTCAGTAGGTGTTTACAGAAGTGCTTCCATATAATGCATTTGATTCAGTTTAGTGAAGGCCAGAAACAGTTTCCCTACTATTTTTTCTTTAAAACAGTCAAAACACCTTAGAAAATGGTATCCACTTGAATGTTTCATTGGACACATACATACATATCAACCCATCGCCTCTCCCTTTTTTTCCCTCCCTTTAAAATATCTTGGGTTCTCAGCTTACATTTCTCATTGCTATATTCTTGCAGGATTGAAATTTGAGGGACATGTCAAGGCTCGCTCATCATAGCTACAACATACCTCCTTCAAGAAGTAAGCTCAGGTGGTACCAGCAGATGAGAGATGCCCACTGGGACATGCAGTTCCCTCCACTCGTTAATATAATGTTATCATCATACATAGCACACACCAGGGTTTCTGTTAACCATGTAGCTGGGGCCGTATTTCATAAGGATGAGATTTCTTTCAGGCCCCTGTGATTTTTAGCATTGTAGCATCTTTCTTCTTATCTAGTGTAATTTGTTTATTTGTTTGCAAGGTGACCTGCATTGCATGAAGTTCAAAATTTGGAGTACCCCAAGTCTTCTGTGAGCTGCCTTGAATTTGTCTACAGCACAGTTCAAACCTTTGGAAATTGAAATTGTGTTAACCTTACAAATGCTGAAGTTTCTAAAACCCTGTTTACTTTCCAGATTTCACTAAGCCAAATGCAACAGCCTTCTGCCTTCTTTCTGCACTACCCTGTGATTTACTTTTCTCATGTTGTATGAAAAGTTGAGCTTTTTATGCTTTAGATATGGGAAAACTGTAGAGAATCTGTAATTTAGAGCACATACTTTAAAGGCTTAAGGTTAAGATAAAAAGTTCAGACAGTGCTAAGTGCTTGGTTTTAATTTCCGTTCTGAATTTTGAAGTTGCTAACTTGGTTTTGCGTAGACTACAGATATCTGTTGTTAAATGCTCCCAAGTGTACTTCAGATTGTTTTGAGTTCTGTTTGTTAAGAATTTTATTCATCCTTTCTGTTTGTTACTTGTTCAGCTGAGGTCTTTTTCTGTAGTCAATTCCTGCCCTTTAGGATTGGCATTTATAGGATAAGATGTGATTGGCCTGGGGAGCAAAATATTTAAACCATACTTTCATTTTTTTAGTTTTTGTCTTAAAAATAACATCACGTAGTTAATATCTGATCAGACCTAAGAATCACTGATTTTTTTGTTCTTCCTTTTCCACATCTTTCTCAAGTGGTTTTGAACAATCCTTACTGAGTTCTTTCTGTTGTTTTAAAAAAATGTTTTGAAGGGAATACAGAAGCATTTGTATTTCCCCACATTGCAGTATTCACACTTAAAATATCATCCCTTCTACCTACTTAAAATTAGTATTAAATATGGGCTGACTTTTCTTGAAGACAGTCTTTGATCGGAGCCTGATAATGTAGTATGCAGTTACCTCCACATTTATGCCCTGCCATGCATCATCCTTTGTCTTCCGGTTAGTCTGGACATCCTCCAGTCATCCACATTTAGATGGTTAGTCAATGCCAAAGTATGATATTCCTTGAATTCTTTGTAATTGTGTAATTATAAATGGTGATTCAGGTAAGTCTACTTAGATCTAGTTAAATGTCTTGTGGTAGTGCTTTGGCAACACAGAAGAGAGTCAGTCTAAGAGGATTGAGTTCAGATAATTTAAAAAAATACATGAAAGCTATGCACTAATTGTTTTTTATGCTGTTGATTTATAGCCAAGCATAAATTCATATTTGAATTGGAGTTCAGGATAGATAAAAGTTTATTATTTGTAATAACTGAAATCACATTTTTAATTAATACTTTTAAAATTGGAATTATGAAAAGCTATAATGAAGGCAAAACTTACTAGAAGTATGAAATTTAAATAAA